GGAGGAACAGCCGCTACAGGTCGCGAGGTGCACAAAGATTATCCAGGATGAGAAGGACTCGGACAAGAGCAAATATGTGATCAACGTCAAGCAAATTGCCAAGTTCGTTGTCAACCTAGGAGAGCGCGTTAGTCCGACAGATATTGAGGAAGGCATGAGAGTTGGGTAAGTTATCTGGTGGATTATATGTCATTTTCTAGAAACTGACTAGGCTTCGCAGTGTCGACCGTAATAAGTACCAGATCATGCTGCCCTTGCCGCCAAAGATCGATCCCAGCGTGACAATGATGACTGTCGAGGATAAGCCCGATGTGACCTACGGTGATGTTGGCGGATGCAAAGAACAGATCGAGAAGCTACGAGAAGTTGTTGAAATGCCCTTGCTATCGCCAGAACGGTTCGTGAACCTTGGTATCGACCCACCCAAGGGTGCTCTGCTCTATGGACCCCCGGGAACCGGAAAGACCCTCTGCGCCCGTGCAGTTGCCAACCGAACGGATGCTACCTTCATTCGTGTCATTGGTAGTGAACTGGTGCAGAAGTACGTTGGTGAGGGTGCTCGGATGGTTCGTGAACTTTTCGAGATGGCCCGTACCAAGAAGGCATGCATCATTTTCTTCGACGAAATCGATGCCGTTGGTGGTGCACGTTTCGACGATGGCGCTGGTGGCGACAACGAGGTGCAGCGAACTATGCTGGAACTGATCACACAGCTGGATGGGTTCGACTCTCGTGGTAACATCAAGGTCATGTTCGCTACCAACCGTCCGTCCACACTTGACCCGGCCTTGATGCGTCCCGGTCGTATCGATCGTAAGATCGAATTCTCGCTGCCGGATGTCGAGGGCCGTGCCAACATTCTCCGAATCCATGCCAAGAGTATGTCCGTCGAGCGAGACATTCGTTGGGAGTTGATCTCGCGATTGTGCCCCAATGCTACAGGTGCCGAACTTCGCAGTGTTGCGACCGAGGCGGGTATGTTTGCTATTCGGGCTCGCCGCAAGGTGGCTACCGAGAAGGACTTCTTGGCCTCTGTTGAGAAGGTGATTAAGGGCAACCTCAAGTTCAACTCGACGGCGACCTATATGCAGTACAACTAGAGATTCCGACTTGCATTATGGATGGGATGTACGATGACTATTGTCTTGTTACGTGGGATTTTTTTTTCCTGGTCAATGCAATATAATTTCAACCAAATTTCCTCTGACTTGCAATGTAGTACCCGGACGATGATGTAGTCCCATCAGGGCTACCGACACCGTACACTTTCCTGATTGGTGAGGACAAGACTGGTCATGTGACTACACGTGACCATCTCGATCTAGATGTACAATACGATTGAAAACTACGAGATCTAGCAATTGTATGTCATTCCACTAGGAAAAGTGGGACTAAAATCAGAAAAGACAGCCATATAAAGCTTCAAGACCCCGTAATTGATCCTAGCGGCTCTCTTCAATCTCCCTGACGTTGTACCGTATCCTTCCGGCAGTCTATGCTGGCCGGCAAAATGAATGGTGCACACGTGCCATCTGACCAATCACGGGGGGCCGGCTGCCCGAGGTTGATTTTCATTGCGCAGCCGTTGATTGGCTGATTCGGCCCCGGTCCTCCCCGTCGGCAACTGTGAGAATGATTATGTCAGCGTGAAACTGCCAACCGCAACCCGATTCCAGATGAAAGTGTTGCCCTGGAAGGAGTTCGCTATTCCACAATCTCCCCTCTTTGCTAAGCCCGTCACCGACCCTTGGTGTCCTGCTGTTCTTTTGGTTCATTAGGGAAACTCAATTCTCTTTTGATCCGCCATCATGAGCTCCATGAGCCTGCGGAGCCTAGCTCCTGCATCCAAGGTGAGTAGCCATGCAACGATTTTCGGCCCGCTCGCAACACCCGTGACATACTCATACGTCTATTTCTCCAGGTTTCCCGCATTTTGAGGGATCAGAGACGTCTTTTCTCATCTTCAAGGCCTGCAGGTACGCATTAGAGCACTCCAATTGTCAACCCACGGACGCACCACTAATTACTACTGCGCCAGCCCGGATATGGTCCAACCAGCCTTTGCGCGCTAAGGAGTCCAATGGCTACCTGACCGACAAGTACCCTATCATTGTAAGACAATACCACTCTCTGAATGGAAAGGAGGGTCTCTAACTTGGCGCAGGATCATGAGTACGATGCCGTCGTTGTTGGTGCCGGTGGTGCCGGTCTGCGCGCTGCTTTCGGTCTGGCCGAGGCTGGATTCAAGACAGCTTGTGTTTCCAAGCTTTTCCCTACGAGAAGTCACACTGTCGCTGCCCAGGGTGGTATCAATGCCGCCCTTGGAAAGTAGGTTTTTCCCATCAGCACTGGATGGTAGCGAATCGCGTCTAACTGGATTTTAGCATGCACGAGGATGACTGGAGATGGCACATGTACGATACTGTGAAGGGTTCTGATTGGCTTGGTGACCAAGACGCCATTCACTACATGACCCGCGAGGCTCCGGCCAGTGTTCGCGAGCTCGAAGGCTACGGTTGCCCCTTCTCGCGTACCGAGGATGGACGCATTTACCAGCGTGCTTTCGGTGGTCAGTCCAAGGATTTCGGCAAGGGTGGTCAGGCTTACCGTTGCGCCGCCGCCGCCGACCGTACTGGTCACGCCCTTCTGCACACCCTCTACGGACAGTCTCTCCGCCACAACACCAACTACTTCATCGAATACTTCGCCCTCGACCTGCTGATGGAGGATGGAGAGTGCCGTGGTATCATTGCCTACAACCAGGAGGATGGTACTCTGCACCGCTTCAAGGCCCACCACACTGTTCTTGCCACTGGTGGTTACGGACGTGCTTACTTCTCCTGTACCTCCGCCCACACTTGCACTGGTGACGGTATGGCTATGGTCGCTCGTGCTGGTCTGCCTAACCAGGATCTGGAATTCGTCCAGTTCCACCCTACTGGTATCTACGGTGCTGGTTGCCTGATCACCGAAGGCTCCCGTGGTGAGGGCGGTTACCTGCTCAACTCCGAGGGTGAGCGTTTCATGGAGCGTTACGCTCCCACCGCCAAGGATCTTGCCTCCCGTGACGTTGTCTCCCGCTCCATGACTTTGGAGATTCGTGAGGGTCGAGGTGTCGGTCCTGAAAAGGACCACATCTACCTCCAGCTCAGCCACTTGCCCGCCGAGCTTCTGCATGAGCGTCTTCCCGGTATCTCCGAGACTGCCTCAATTTTCGCCGGTGTTGATGTCACCAAGCAGCCCATTCCTGTCCTGCCCACCGTCCACTACAACATGGGTGGTATCCCCACCAAGTACACTGGTGAGGTTCTGGATGTGGATGAGAACGGCCAGGAGAAGGTTGTTCCCGGTCTGTATGCCTGCGGTGAGGCCGCATGTGTGTCTGTCCACGGTGCTAACCGCCTGGGTGCCAATTCCCTGCTTGATTTGATTGTCTTCGGCCGTGCTGTCTCTCACCGTGTCCGTGACACTTCCACCCCTGGCAAGCCCCACAAGGAGCTTGCTTCCGATGCTGGTGCTCAGTCCATCAAGGACCTCGACTTTGCCCGTACCGCCGAGGGCCCTAAGTCGACCTTCGAAGTCCGCAATGCTATGCAGAGGACCATGCAGACCGATGTCAGCGTCTTCCGTACCCAAGAGAGCTTGGACGAGGGTGTCGAGAAGGTCAACAAGGTTGATCAGTTGTACGCCCAGGTCGGCACTAAGGACCGCAGCATGATCTGGAACTCCGACTTGGTAGAGACTCTTGAGCTCCGCAACCTCCTGACTTGCGCGTATGTAACCTCGATTCACTGATTTAGGATCGCTTGCTAACCTATATTTCACAGTACCCAAACCGCTGCTTCTGCTGCCGCTCGTAAGGAGTCTCGTGGTGCTCACGCTCGCGAGGACTACCCCGACCGTGATGACGAGAAGTGGATGAAGCACACCCTCTCCTGGCAGAAGAAGCCCCACGGCGAGGTCAAGCTTGGCTACCGTGCCGTTGAGGCTAACACCTTGGATGAGGCGGAGTGCAAGGCCGTCCCTCCTTTCAAGCGTACCTACTAAGCTCGCTATTTTGGGGTCGACCCGCAGAGAATACGGAGGATACCACGGAGTTGTTTCAGATGGACCCTATCGACGCCCTCTCCCAACCTCGTGGTTTTGAGGTGGAACTAGGGCTTGTGGCGTCGCAAGGCCCCGTTTCAAGGGGAACCATCTATGAAAAAGACCTTTATTTTTGTTGACTGTGTTACTTACCATCCTGTATAGCCATATTTTTTTCCTTTATCTTAACAGGCGAAGAGTTGGTGTACTGAGTGCTTTCCCCCTCAGTTTGTCTCATATGATTGGATTTATTACTTCTTAATGTTTTTCTCTTCCCCTTAGGTACGGAGTACTTATTGTAGTTTTCTCCTGCCGTATGGAAATTCCGCTTCTTTGTCTGATTTGGTTAAGAAAAATCCCCGGTTGACCCCCTGGCCTGTCAACAAAGAAACCAAACACTAGCCTCTTCGAGTTTCATTTCTAGCCCTGGCTGATTTGTGACTGATTTCTTGCTAATTCGCTAGATTCTGCCATCATGTATCACTGTGGCAACGATGTCGACCTGCCCATTATCCAGACTATACCTCACATGAGCCAAAGAGAAACCAACACTGCGCATGTGAAGCCCATTGGTGACAACATCAAGATTCTATAATTGGCATATCATCGCCACCCCGCACCAGCCACCAACAAAGAAACCCCTCTGCTTCTTTCAGGAACAGGGTCGAGATCTCCATTAGAGAGATAATGAATGCCTCTTGGAAGAATATCTGTCGGGGCATGGGCCGATCAATTTGATCTCTGTTGTCATTTCTGCTGGCAAATCCTCAAATTTTGAATGAGAGTTGAAAGGACAAGGTCTTTCGCTTTCAGCTGTTCAAGCTTGTGCCATCCTGCATAACTGCTGTGTTTTGCGGTTTGATCAAGTTGTCTTCGGATTCGGTGAGACTTGATCTCTGAGGATGCTGTTCGAGATGGAGTCTCTCGAGTCCCTCGGGTCTCTTGTGCCTCGAGACCTCAACGCTTGCACTGGGACCAAGCAGTGGTATGTCTGCACGGCAGGCATCTTTCATGGATGCTGCTCAAGCGATCCATGTACAACGGGAATTTGTCCGGACGACAGCGACAACGACGACTCGAGCACCACACCGACCAAGTTGTCTACACTCTCGTTGACGACAGCTGGGCCCATTGCTCGGTTGCCCAGCGTGACGCCGAGAACCACAACTACTTCCTCTATGTCCTCTTTTTCAGAACCAACTACCGTTTTGTCAACGGATCCGTCTACGATGGCACCCGAGCCTTCTCCAACAGCTTCCTCTATCACTTCAGGAACATCAACAGGTTCGAAGACCCCCCAGTCTCAGAGACATCCACATCCCCAGTAACACTCACGACTTCAGAAATTCTCTATAAGTTCTGACACATACTCGGCTATAGGAGCAGGTATTATTGCGTCGTCCTCGGTTCTGGCCGCTAGCGCGTCTCCATCCAGTACCTCGCCCACCACCCCAAATGCTACATCCTCAAACCTGGGCGCAATCATCGGCGGTGCTGTTGGAGGAGTTGCCGTCTTGGTCATATGCGCCATTCTGCTTTTCTGCTGCTGCCGCCGCAAAAGAAAATATGGAAAGCGTGAGAAGGGGACAAGTCTCGTCTCATGGTACTCATACAGATTCACGCGGAAAGATCGAGCAACTGCGTCCGAAATGAAAGGGCCTCTATCCCCACCAGACAGCGAAGCAAATAGTGAGCAAATTATCATTCGATAACTGACTGCCCATTGAGGCAACATAACATTTCACTGATACTAGACATTACGTTAACAGTAGACTCATTCAGCGCTGTCTCCCCATTCACCATGGATAACACGCGGGCAAGCCCAATTCTCACCCCAGACCTAACATTGGTATCATCGTCAACAAGCCTTATCTCACACTCTCCCCATAAAACGCCCCCAGTCCCCCCAACCAAAGCGCACTCAAACGAGCTCGTCGCTTCCGTTCCTCCCCGGCAAGGATTTACCCCAGAGCTACAAGACACGGGCTTCCATCGCCTGCGCGCTGAACTAGCATCCCACTCACAGAGCGAGCTGATCAACGTACCCATGGAGCAACGACAGCGACAGCAGAATCATATCAGGTCGAGGTCTGGTCCACGGGCTTGGGAGTCGCCTGCCTTGGCACCTATAGCTAGTCCACATACAATCCCTAGAAGAGGAACCGACAACGGCAGTGGCCACAGCCACAGCAATAGCAATGGTGGTAGTCCGGCGAGAAACCAAGCCGGGCGGGTCATCACCGCCGAGGGAGTTGTCCTAGGCGCGAATCTGGATCGATACTCCAATGGCATGGAAATCGGAGAATCCCAGGCCCAGGGGGAAAGGGGAAGGAAGGCCGAGCGCGGTGAGACAGATCATGTTATGAGTTTTATGCAGTATGGCGGGAGGCCGGAGGATCGGGGCTTGGGAAACGGGCTTGGGATCTCAACGGGTGGTGACCATGCTTCCAACCCCCAGGGACGTGGGGGTAGTGCGTCCAGGTCGAGACCTAGGCCCGCGGAGCACAGTTTGGAAGATGATATTGCGGCTGCGGAGGGTAATGCTGACGTCCCGCCTGCTTATGAGGCGGAAGAGGGCGCCCCTGGACACGACATCAAGTCTCCATCTGGAACGATGGGTATGAGCCTGAGAGGGGTTTGAGAGGTTGATTTTGATTTTGATTTTGGGGTAATGCTAGTCCCGGCTCAGGGATTTTTTTATGAGATTTGAACGATGGCCTGATAAGTATGTTATGTTGTATGATACTCCCTCCTTTATTAGCAACACATAGTTTGGCCCTTTTATTTTTGGAAGACACCTAAACAAGTCAATTCATATATTCATTTTTGTCTAACCGAAAGCCTAACATTTGTTTTCTGTCATATATCGTATCCTAAAGATTTTACAGTAACTTCTTCAGCACAGCGGTCTGCTCGAGGACTGCGCGCTTGCTGGTTCCGCCAATGGCATCCTTCAGCTCGACGGCACGCTCGTAGTCAAGGCAAGCCTGGACATCAGCGTCGAACCGGGCGTCGACTTCCTGGAGTTGCTTCAGAGAGAGCGTATCCATGGGGACATTGGTGTTCTCGGCCAGAGCAACGACACGGCCGGAAATGTGGTGTCCCTCGCGGAAAGGCACACCCTTGCGGACGAGGTAGTCGGCGATTTCGGTAGCCAGCATCTCCGGGGCCAGGGCGGCGATCATCTTCTCGGGGTTGACGGTGAGAGTAGAGAGCACACCGGTTGCAATCTGGATGCTGTCGCTGACAGTCTTGACGTGGTCGAGCATGGGTTCAACACTCTCCTGCAGATCCTTGTTGTAGGTAGTGGGAAGGCCCTTGATTGTGCACATCAGGCCGGCCATCTGGCCGAAGGCACGGCCAGCCTTGCCACGGAGCAGCTCCAGGCTGTCTAAATTTTGGAACATGTATTAGTATGCTGCTTTATATTACATAAACGGAAATCAAACTTGCCTGCGTTCTTCTTCTGGGGCATGAGGGACGATCCAGTCGAGTAGGCATCTGACAGACGAACAAAGCCGAACTCCAGACAGCTGTAGATGATCAGATCCTCGGCCCAGCGAGAGATCTTGAGCATGAACGAGCTGCCCCACTGCATGGTCTCCATGGCGAAATCGCGGTCCGCAACAGCGTTCATGGAGTTGTACAGCAAGCCATCGAAGCCAAGCTCCTTGGCCATAGCCTCACGGTCAATGTTGAAGCAGTTACCGGCAAGGGCACCGGTACCAAGGGGGCTCTTGTTGACGCGACGGATAACCTCACGCAGACGCTCCAACTCGCTAGCGAAGGCAGTGGCATGCGACAGGATCCAGTGGGACCAGCGGACGGGTTGGGCCTTCTGCAGGTGGGTGTATCCAGGCATGAGATAGGCGATATCGTTCTCAGCGCGAGCAATAGAGACCTTGATCAGATCGCAGAGGTGGTTCTCGATCAAACGGAGCTCATCGCGGAGCCACAGGCGCATATCCGTGGCGATCTGCTCATTGCGCGACCGACCGGTGTGCAGCTTGCCGCCGATATCCTTGCCAATGATCTCGCCCAGACGGCGCTCGTTAGCGGTGTGGATATCCTCGTCGTTCTCCTTGGCCACGAAAGTGTTTGTTTGCCATTCCTGGGCGATCTGCTTGAAACCCCGCTCGATCTCGGCGAACTCTTGTGCTGTGAGGATACCAGAGTTGGTGTTGGCGCGAGCAAAGGCAATTGAGCCAGCAATGTCCTGCTTCCAGAAGACACGGTCGTAGGGGAGCGACGTGTTGTACTGCACCATAAGGGGGTCAAGGCCCTCTGGGGTTTTTTTGTATGAGTCAGTGAGTTTTTTTGGTGGGATAGAGGGTTTTGGAACTCACGGGTGAAGCGGCCTCCCCAGAGCATGTTCTCAGCGACGCCTTTAGGGTTACTCATTTTGAAGGAACGAAGATTGATCAATGGCTTGAAAATGAGAGAAAATAGGGAAATTCGAAGTTGAAGTTCCCCCCTGCATCTCGTGGAATCACCGGCAATCATCCGCTAAACCTAATTCGGTAATATCTGGGGACAATATTTACTATGAGTCAACTTGACATTTCCCCCAACCACATTTTTATAACATTGAACTAAAATATAGAATGTGCTCTGTATCACATGCAGCTTCTGAAAAGGCATCTTTTGTGTATATATTTCTCCAGAATACTAGATACGGTCTCCAGTTTCAGAACCTGCCGGCGTTCTAACATGATTCGCCTCATATCTATGTAATTTGGCAATATACTAGCCGCTAAAAAGATGATCAATAGCTTAAGCGCTCTGTATAATTCCTCCCTAGTTCGTGTTATCCCCTCTTTGACTAGCCCAGAAGCCCCTAAGTCGACAAGGGCTCTCAATACATTGGTTTATCCAACTGGAAGGATCGTCGCAAACGCTATGGGTATTCGAGAGATTCAAGCATCATGAAGTCAGCTGTCGATATTGGTAATAATCCAAAGTTATCATCAGGCCAAGAATCCAAAGTCTGCGGGGGTCGGAAAGGAGTTGCTTGGATTTGGTTTGAAGTATCGTGAGAGGTCTGAACCGATGGATCGCTGATGGATCGGCTGGATTGCTCGTTGAAGTGGGTGACGTTTCTCTTCTGAAGTACTGTCTGGTACCAACTCCGGATACCTTTCCACTGATTTAACAACCTATGGAAGTAATGCGTCTGACCTTGCGGTGTGCTGGTCATGGAGAACAGTTCCTGCGTTCGTGTATATACCACGCCGAGGTAAGAATCCAACCGAGCAATGCGTGCTGTGGATTCTTTATCGGAGGAAATCACATCGATTGATACCGAAATTTTGCTTGCCAGCATGATCGTATATGTAAGCTGTCGCCAGTCAAAGGCAGTCCATATTTGCATATTGTCCGCTGAGATCGCCAAGGCACGTTTCATGTAGTTCTCCACGTGTGCCAGGCAATCGAACATAATGCTCACCCGGATCGCAGAAAAGGGGTGGCTCCGAAGATTTCCATGAAGCCCAATCTCGTGGGCGTATGCCCCAGCCAAGTCACCCCACGTATTAAGTTGCGCTTATAACTCCAAGTCAGCTTCCTTTGGCCACTATCTTCAACTGGAAAGGCAATTAAAACCCACCATGTTCGGATAGTCCAGGTGGAAGGCTTTCCCGCCACGAATGGAGTTGGCCTCCGAGAGCTTTCACGACCATTTGAACTTTATCATCACCCATGGAAAGACTATGGTCAGGGTCACCATATTCAAAGACGCTATAAACTTCATTCATAATTCGCAACAGCTTAATGAAGTGTATCAGCGTCTTGTCGGTTTCCACCTCGCTATCCTCTTGGAGGGAGAATGCACATTGCTCCATATATGTGGAATACGCAATTGGTGATTGTTTTCGGCACATGAGTGCACACCTAATTGTATGTCAGCAGATAAGACCCTAATAATTGCGGGCCTATGGTGCATACAGTGTTGACTGGATGTAGGCCCCGATTAAGACCCGTCTCGCCTCATGACTCCAAAATTCGTGTTTGCGAGTTGTTATATGTTCCGGTGCTGGTTGAGAGTTGAGGATGAGATCGTGCTGTGTTGTTCCTTGCGGAGGCTTCTTGTTGAACCCAAGATCTACGATCATTGTCACACACAATGAAGCCAACCGATATGCATGGTATTGCCCAGACTCAGTCACGTTGAAATGATACCTGGATAATTAGACCAATTGCAAACAGTTCCTTTAGGAAAGAGATCACGTACCATGCAAGATATGCTAATAGCCCCTGGAGTATGTCCAAGCTACGTTCGCCATTGAAGAACCTCAGCCCTAGTTCCTTCACATAAAACCTCTCTAGAGCAATCTGTTGGGGTTTGTTTTGCCACGATGCTATAACCAGCATGGCTTGCAAAAGCATTGGCCGTTCCTGCTGCAATTCCAGCACTCCAAGCCTCCCAGGGACGATAACGCAGGGAAAGTGCTTATCTGACATCTCTCGATAGGTCTGACACAAGGTTTCTGCCTCGTAAAATGTGACAAGGCCACATGTTAGAGGATCCTGATTCGTGGGGGTTGGTTCGCTGAGCCCTGGCGCTGCAGCAAATACTGCGGGTGTAATATCTGGTATAATTCGATGCAGCGATCGGTCTGGGAAACGATCCACTAAAGTACCCATCATCTCCTCCAAATGCGACATCCGATTATGCACTGCTATTCAGTGAGCTTGGGGTTTCATCTATAAGGGCTTGCGAAATAGGCCCACATACATCGACTTTGTCGCTTCCGAGGGCGTATTTCAGGGAAAGTACAGTCCTTTTCATGCTGTTGACACCTTTTTTGGGTTTGAATTTCAAGTTAATATACTAAGAAATTAAGCTAAGATAGGAAAAGTCGAACCTATGGCAGACCGTGGGCACCTCGCGACTGGGAACACAGCGGAGCTTTTTCGCCTTGCACTCAGAGCAGGCACGGCGCGGTGGGTATCCCTTCTCCATGAAAGAAATATGGATCAAGAATCTCCGATACGTATACTAGGCTAGGAGGAATGAAAAGAGCAGAGGTTGTTACCTTCAACTCGGCCAATGCGTCTCAGAGGCGCCGATTCCGAATATTCGGTCACGTGTGGTCCCACTTTCTCCGGCCTCGGGGACAGTTTAACCTCCGAACTCTATTTTGGTTAAGTATCACGACTTCTGGGACTCTGGTATAGCGTATTTTTCTCGGAGGATACATAAGTAAAATCAAAATGACCGATATTGCATCGGATTTTTACGGTGTAAAGTACACCATGTCTCCCTATTTATATTGGCTTGACCCTTTCTAGTCAAGAGTCAGGCGCAATATATATTACAACCCAGGCTTCAACATGGGCGTCACTCCAGCCAGCAACACGCCACACAGCCCGAAAGACTCCCATAAATACACTTTGACAAGACGACCATGGCGACTCAACGTGACGGATTTCCAAACGATAATTGACTTTCCTTATCGTGGTAGCGGCACGTTAGACGATCCATACATTGTGGAGTGGCTGGAGAGCGACCTCGAAAACCCCAAGAATTACAGCGAGGCCCTACGATGGAGTACCACGGCATTGATAGCAACCATGACACTGTGTGTTGCCCTTGCGTCGTCTGCATATTCGGGCACCGTTGGTTCGCTGCTCACTGAATTCAAATGCAGCCATGAGGTGATTACCCTGGGTCTTTCACTCATGGTCCTCGGATATGCCGTGGGACCGTTGCTGTGGGCCCCCATCTCCGAGTCCGTTGGTCGCCGCAATATCTTCCTTCTTTCTTATACCGGATACACGATTTTTACTGCTGGTTGCTGCGGCTCACAAAACTTTTGGACTCTCATTATCCTCCGGTTCTTCACTGGTCTTTTTGGATCCAGCGCCTTATGTATTCCCGGAGGTCAAATCGCAGACATGTTCAAAGCGGAGCTCAGAGGCCTTGGAATTGGCGTTTTTTGTCTTGCGCCATTTATTGGACCGGCTCTCGGTCCCATCATTGGTGGTTTCCTAGGCGAAGCAGCCGGTTGGCGTTGGGTGATGGGCCTGCTAGCTATATTCGGGGCATTGTTGACATTGACGGCATTCATCTTTATGCCTGAAACATATGCACCGGCATTGTTAAGAGCACGCGCTGAGCGTTTGTCGCAAGCCACCTCACAGGTCTATCTAACTGCTGAAGATGCGAAGAACCCTGTCGTTTTCAAGGAGTTGGTCAAGCACGCGCTGCTTCGGCCGTGGGTGTTACTATTCCGTGAGCCTATCGTTTTTAGTCTGACAGTTAGTAACTTTCCCTCATTCAAAGGTATAACAATCACTAACGGACCCATGAAGCTTTACATGTCAGCCATCTACGGCACTCTCTACATGTGCTTTGCTGCATTCCCGATCGTGTTCCAGGAAAAGCGTGGCTGGAATGCTGGTGTTGGAGGTCTTGGGTTTACGGGCGTCTTGGTAGGGCTGATAGTCGGAATCCTCATTATTTGCTGGGACAACAAACGATACGTTCGTATCTACCGCGCAACCGACGGGTTTGCCCCTCCAGAATGTCGTCTACCAGCAGTCATCGCGGGCGGAATATCTATTGTTGTCGGACTGGCCTGGTTCGCCGCCACCGACTCTCCCCATATCCACTGGGTGGTTCCAATCATGGCTGGAGCTCCATTTGGTGCAGGATTCGTCATGGTATTCATATGCTGCGCCAATTATCTGTAATAGCCCCCTGTTCCTTGCACCTGGTGACTGGCTAACTTGCTATCTCTAGTATTGACGCGTACGTGATATTCGCCGCTTCAGTACTTGCTGCCAACTCTGTGATGCGGTCCATCTTTGCTTGTATCTTCCCTCTTTTCACCACCTACATGTTCAATGTACGTGTAAAACATGGCTCATTTTGTGATGTCGTCTGCTAACAGGATTGAAGGATATTGGGATACACTGGGGCGTGGCCGTTCCTGGATTTATTGCCCTCGCCTGCCTTCCATTCCCCGTTTTGTTCTATTTATACGGTTCAAAGATCAGGGCGGGTTGTAAATACGCTGCGCTGGCAGAAGAGCACCTCCGAAGCACCAAAGTGAATGGAAACTTGAGCTCACAACCCTCGACTGACTTCGAAGAAAATGGGATCATGAAAGTGTAAGGGACATTTGAGGCGAGCCCAGTGACTCAGTGTCATTTTTCAGGAAACTGTCTTAGGGGTTCAAACCCCATGGACTCACTCTACCTAATACTGGGAAGAGTCAATTTACACATAGATAGATATCAAAAATTAAAACATAATTTACTCTCGAATCTGTCATCTATAGTAAAATGCGTCAGACATATTCGCTATAAGCGTAAAAATACCCAAATGCAGTTATGTGAACCTATCTCCCACCAGGCATATACATTGTGTTTGTATAGGCAAAACCAAGGAGATGAGAGCCTTTAGTCGCACAGCTCAATGACAGTCCAGGTAACAGTCGTCAAAACCTGACCCCCAATCTTTTCCATGACCCTCCGACTCGCCATATTATACCCAGCCACCTCAGTATGCGCCCAAGCCCCAACACGCTCTCGAGTCTGACTATCCTCAGAGTTGACACCCCCAGCCCCAAAAACACCATCTACTGACATACCACGACGCATGATAGCCTTGCACAATGGAACGGCAAGCCCACGACCCCGATGCTCCGGCTCAACATGCAACGTCGCCAGCGCTCCATCCACACCCAAGAATCCCCATGCAATAGGCATTTCATCAGTATCACTAGACCCGGAATCAAAATAGACTGCCATGCCGGGCATCATAGATAGCTGTGCCCTTGGCCGGGGGATATGTGTCCGACTCTGCACAAGATCCAGATGCTTACTCAGAACACCCTCCCTCCCCTCTCGGTCATGGAACCTATATCCGGACGGAAGGGACAGATCCGCGAACGGCAGATTGTCAGATTTTCCAGCCTCTGCATCGGGGCTGAACTTGGATCTCTGGAAGAAGTACTTGTAATAAGGCGGATCATCGAAGCGATGGAACCGGATATTGGGGATCGGGTTAGATAGAGTGTAAGAGCCAGATCCCTGCAGGAGAGAGAAGAGACCTGTATGAAGGCTGCCGATGAGGAAGGCCCGTGGATCTGGCGCGGGGATCAGGGGAACAGTACTATTGGCAGTGGGATTGTTGTTTGGGCGAGTCGTTCCAGCCTCAGCAGGTGTGGCTTGTGCTGATTTCGCCAAATATGACAGGTAAGGTGACAGCAAGTAAGTCTTGACATATGACAGCAAAGCCAATAGCTGCGCGCGGGCCAGGGCTAGGACAGCTGGGTCGGCGGAAAATGTGGAAACAATGGGGTTGGTTACAGTGCCGATGTCGTTATCATGATTATTATCATTGGCATTGTTTTTGTTATTATTGGATCCCGAGTCCACATTTAATATCTCCGATGTTGTGGCTTTGGTACTATCGCTGACAGTGGCGATCGGAGGAATTGACGTGTGCTCCGCTTCGAGGCTGGAGTAGATGAGCATTTGTGTTGTGCGGCCGGCAAAGAGATCCACCCGCGCAGCCAGCCATGGTTGTCCAGGTTCAGGGGTTGAGCCGGACGGGAAAGTTGCCAATATATGGGCAGTCTCAACCGGATACGCGATTCCATGTTGGATTCGACGGAGTAGAGTAGTGGAATACGGTAATTCAGATATGAGTGCCGGCATTATTGTGGCTGCATCGTGCTCGTAGATGCATATCGATGCCATTCCGATCATGTGCCGGATTCCCGGGTACCTGGATTCAGGGGCGTCGATTGCTATACGGGGTAAAAAGGATTGTAGAAGGTACTATTGATCTTCAATTTATTCATAAAGTGACAGGTTGACACATGGGCCGTGAGTCAGAGAGTTGTGGACCTCATGGTTAAATATGCCTAGCTAAGTCTAGTTAGTTACCAGCCTTAGATAATTCGATTTATTAATCACACGGAGTACTCCGTGCACCCTACGAATCATCGAATCTCCGAGTCGCTTAAGTATTTGTCACATTGTGTGGCGGTGCGGCACTATCGATTCTGACGCGGGACCCGCGGGCGATCTCCGTGCTAAACGAAATTTTTTTTTAAACTGTTTTTTTTTGACATGATACATTTCTAGGGGGAAACCTTTTACTATGATGTAGGGCACAGAGAATGAAAAACAAAAGACCGCCTTGTCATTATACTCCACTGTGATATGACATCACAGGTACTAAATATTTTTGGGAACGGGAAACATAAGAGAAAAACGAAAAAAGAAAAAGAAAATTCGTGCCTCATCACCGCGGCATCCTACCAGGGACTGCGCGTTCCGATCATCCAATCCTCCATTGCCAACCATTCACTCCACCGCGCCTCGGCCACTCGAATCTCATCCTCCGAGGGGTCACGCAGGGGCCTCAAGAAGGGGGTCCCTTCATCCGGAGAAATGTCGTAGGCGGCCTTGGTAGACGCCCACCCACTGCTCTTAGCCGTGAACAGATAGTTTACCCGCTCTTGTTTGTAGATACAGCCCACGCCGGCCTCCCAGTCCCCACCGAAGAAACCTTGCATAACAGCCGGTGAATCCTGCGCGGTGACAATCAACCGTCTAATATACGGCCGTAGCGAGATAAAGGATGACGGCGTTGATGGAGACACTGCGCTAGACTCTGAAGGGTGCTGGCAGGGTAGTCGAATATTGATGAACGCGGTAATGGCCTGCACTTGGGGAGTGTGCTGACTATAGTCGACGAAGTGCTGGACACAATTCTTATAGTGTGGGAACCAGCCTGTGGGGTCAATGCGACCAAACTCGTCGTTCAACACCGACTGAGCCTCTGGGTTGTTCATCCCCTCTTCACGAGGGCGCTCGCGTCTATCAGGGATGCGTTCAGCGTCTCGTTCGACGGATCCTGGAACAAGGGCAAAAAAGTCTCAGAATATTGGTCATTGTGCAACCGGGTGCACTAGGCGAGACCGGGTAGAAGGAAGAACGGGAAAGAAGGAACTCACTTTGAGCGTGTTGTTCGCGAAAACAAGGATCGCGCATGTCCATATGCTGGGAGTTTTCCCAGCACTCTCTTCCAGAACCTTGCATTCTCAGTGACATGTTCGACAGTCGACATATGTTTGTGATAGTATGAAGGAGAATCTCAGACTAGTTGGATTTAGACTTGAGTTGGAATAGAGTCTATGAGTCTGGGGGAGGCGAATGCCTTATAGGTTCGCGCCTAAGCGCGGACGGGGAAGACCGAGCCATCAATGCCCAAAATCGATAACTGAAGATCAAGGGCGGACTAGTTCGGCTTTCGGAGGTGAAGGCAGGTGGATCTGAGAAGCTAAGAAAATCAAGCTTGAGCCACAGATGTGGTCACTAGCCACGGTGAGCCACGGTGAGACCGAGATGTGGCTTATGCGCTTATCCCTAAATAGCAAGGGGTGTGTGGCTGTGAAGCGACAATGGAATTGTCCACTAGTCTCAATTAGGCAACCCCCATGGTAGATCCAGATCTCTTCCTCCGTAGTGTATCAATAGTTCAATAATTTTGGGGCTAGTCTCTTGAACTATCTCTCGCCCTAGATCACCCTGAAATGATTTGGAAGCTTTACTACTAGCGGAAGATCAGAGATCTCATGTTTTTTCCCTTTTCTCGCTTGACCCGTGCAACACGCCTGACACTTTCAAGGCCCACTTCTCCCCAATATTATTAAACATAGTTCTTAGTCCCGATGAGGTAGGGATCCCGGACCTGTTCGGGGGTGGATCTCTCATATCACATTTGGAATCTGCGAGTATTCTGTACCTAGCACATGGTAAAGAAAATAATCAATAAAAAGAAACCAATATGAAAATGAAAATGAAAAATCACATTAAAAACCACAAAACAACAAAACAAAAACAAAAACAAAAACGTGGGCAGAAAGGCAAAAAAAGAATGTAAGGGAGAAAAGATGACATGGGATAATCCTCGTATCGCGAGGCTTGCCCACATCGGGGACTCCGAGCGATCGGCTTTGACCCTCAGATGTTCCCATCACCCAATCACAAAGATTCATCCACGTTCATGGAGTGCCTGAAAACCCGACTTCCCGGTTATAACTAAATTCTATCTATGAAAAGACAAACTAGGCGAGATGTGGATCTTGACGTCTGATCTCCCCCCGCTTCCAAATTACTGCGGCTGAGCAGTTTCGTTCATTTAAATGCAGCCGGGCTCGCTTGAACCTGCATCTCTTCAAGTCATTTGAGACTTTTATGTGATATACAAATACTTCACACCATGAGTTACAAGACCAACTATGAGCTCTACGTGAGTAACATCCATGATTTACTTTTGATCAATCTGACTTATAGTTTTCTAGTCTCGAGGGAGCATTGACAGCAGACGGTCACCACCACCAGATGAGCTTCTCTCGCCGTTAGCAACGCTCTACCCACATGTCGCGGCCCTGCAGCCACAGTACAACCCCAACAGCTGCACCTTCACCGGTTACCGTGACACGGGATATTGGGCCGCGGCCTACACAACACAACCTATCGATGACCCCTTCATGTCAACGCGTCGTATCAGTGGTATGCTTAACCCTGTCTCTATTTCTCCGATCGCATTTAGTTCTAACATTGCTATAGATGGTCGACCATGTCGATTTGTTTCTAAATTACGCCGACTCCTCAGCCGAGACGATTTAAAACATCGTCGAGGATCTCGAGCGACTGCACGAACTGCATAAACTGCATAAACTGCGTTTTATCTCCATTCTTTTTCTCCCTTAGCGATTTTCTCGAACACGCAAACGACCAGCGATTCACTTCTCGGCATCCTAGTGTCCTCTTATGTGAGGCTATTCTTTTCCAAGCATGCCTTTGCCTCCATCTTTTTCTTTTGTCTGATCTTGATTTTTATTCTTACAAGCGAGTCTTTTTTTTCCTGTGGGCTTTTGGGCAAGCGACGTTTTTTCAGCGAGGAGTTCTGTGGCACACATCGGCAAGCCTAAACTGGGGGCTATATCTTTTTTATTCTTACTGAATTTTGTTGCACATATTTATGTCAGTGATGTATATAAAGGCAGATACGCCTACAAATATCAAAGGACCAATTACAGTCCACTCTTTTTTTTTTTGAAACTCCGTATCAGAATATTCCCAAGCTGTATAATTCTAAGCGCCCTGTCCGGGTTGCTCAAACAAGCACGTTTTTCACACCGGATTCTCCACTATTAGGCAGTTACTAGCTAATCAGGCCTCAATGTCCCCCTGCGTAGAAAGCCACATGTCTTGGAAGCAAGGCATAAGGCAATGACGGCATAAAAATATTTGCTTTTTTCCACCATTGCCTCATGGTTCCCAATCCCACGGTAGTACTCGTGGGTTCCAGGGGAAAGGAACAGGATCAATACACATGTGGGATCGCCGAGGGCGCAAAAAGCCAATCACTTGCATCAGGCCCTATCTGCCGATCACCTATTCGGGGACCTCAATGATCGGCGAGCTCCACGCGCCTATGGAGTCCTAATCAAAACCTAACAGGTCTGGACCCTTGAAACCCTGATATTATTGAATATTTGCATGATAAGATACTCATACGCAGGCTTGCAATTCCAATGCAATGGCTTAAACTTCCACGAGATGCTCTAGAACTGATACAGCTCTGGAGAGTTTCAGGGGTGAAACAAGGGCATGGCCGGGATTTGAACCTTGTTCTTTTTATATATAGAGTCTCCCGGCTACCTTGGAAAACTCACTGGGCGTTTTTAAGTCTAAGGGCCGACCCGTGTCGATCATTTTGTCTATTTGAAATATGATCTAATGCCTGATTTTGGGGCTATTGTGTAGGGCCTTGGAATAGGAGGTTGTGCATTTGATATCATCTCCGTATTTGCTTTTTGTTTATTACCTTGACGCTAGGTTGGATATGGAAGGAGTAACCCATTGCGTCAGGTGACTGTATATCCCTTTTGAATTGAGAAATATGCTATAGAGGCCATAGAAGCTATGAATTATTGAAAGAAGTTCATTGGGACGGGGTTCATACTGGTCCCCGACCGTTATATAGCAAGGAGAGGATACTCCGTGATCATCCCTGTTGTCCCCGGTCTAGCCTACAATATACGGGTTTTTATGCAGGGGATAATGAAGTACATATTATATTGGTCGATCAACCTCGGATGATTGCCACGAGATCAGAGTATATATATGCATTATTCAATAATAACAATGTCGCTGCCCGACCACAGTCGACACAAGAATTGTTTTATGTTGTACTTTCAAGGTTATATGTTTAGCTCTAGAATACTGCATGACTGCGCCACACTTCAACTATAGTATTATCAAAAGTAAACAGTCTTCATACCAGATATAGAAGGACCTAGGAACCTAGCAATAATGTAAAGTAGTAGTTGCTTTCAAGAGGATTGTGATAGGTAGAATTATAAATATTTACAACTATTACCTAGGACCTTGGAAGATAGTTATAGTATTCTTTTTTTCATTCCTTTTTTTTTGAACCTACAACATAGTAAGAACTCATGCCCATAATGTATCACACCAGGTAATAAGGTGATCGGCATATGTGAAAAGAAGTTGAAGAATCATAAACCGACCGCAATTACCGATCAACGCATCCGTGCCAAAACTCAAACATTCGCCCCACTGCTCTCCCCACGAACACTCCCCCGGACTCCCCCAGACTTGGAAATAAATTTTTGTTCAAAAATGTCTGATTCTTTAACAGCTGAGACATTCCCGAAATACGAGTGCTCATTATGCCTCAAACGGTATAAGCGACGTGAACACCTGTTTCGCCATATCGGTTCCCATACATCACAGCGGCCATACCAATGCAATTCGTGCGATGGAGCTTTCCAGCGCGCTGATGTTTTGAAACGACATCTACGGACCTGTGATGGCGGCACCTCAAGAGGAAGTACTCGAAGACGGGCTTGCGATCGTTGCGTTCGTCAGAAAAAGGCCTGTAGCTCCCATCAACCATGTCACAGCTGCGCCAAAAGAGGTGCTCAATGTTGGTATTCCACAGACGCAGGGTCTCCATCACGACCGTTTCAACATAGCCCCACGAAGGATATATTGGAAGACCAAGATGTGAATCCTCAATTTACAGATCCACCCCCATCGACATCCAATACAATGATGCCGTGGGGCCTCACTATGGAGGATTTGCAAAACTTTGGCACAAGTCCGATTGATACCTTCTTCGATCCAGCTTCTATGCAAAATGCTAGTCCAATTTGGCCGAATTTCTTGGCATTAACTTCCGAAAGCCCAGCACCTTTTGAAATGCCTGCTTCTAGTGACAGCCCCCAGAAATCGCTGCACTTTCTGGACAAATTTACTAGTCACACAGGTCTAGTGTCGAGCTTTGACTGCGGCACCCACGAGCAAAGAGAACAAGTTGCTGCCAGCTTAGACCAGCAAATCCTGTCTCAGATACAGCAGAGAATAACGTCACTGGCAGCCATGGGCATGGATGCCCCACCTCCCCTGATATTGGAAAATAACAGTGATACAAATTCAACCAGCGAATTACCACTCAATTGGTTCAATGACCCACTTTCCTTGAAGACACATGAGATTCTTCTTCTAATTGAAGAAGTGGTCACGATCAAACCGCGCAACAGCTCTGTCACCTTAGACTGGTCATCAGCACTCAAGGATGCATGTGTGCAATTCTTCTCTCCTTCAAATATAAGAAGATTTCTGGGGCTCTACTGGGCAATATGGCATCCTAACGTGAACTTTGTGCACCGGCCTACCTTTGACATGCTGGCAGCGAAGCCAACAGCCCTAGCTGCAATGACTTTGATGGGTAAGACGGTCCTCTGATATATGGTTGGTAAATGCTGATTATTGAAAGGTGCCTGTGTATCACCTGATATGCCTGACAACGAAGATGCACGCACCTGGTTCAACTGTGTGGAAGAAATGGTTTTCATTGACGATGATTTCAACAGTGATTTGACTCACCAATCCTCTGACAAAATGGCCATGCAAAGACGAAAGATTCAGGCTGTACAGGCTGCCTACATAGTCTGCCTTTATCAGAACTGGGAGGGCACGGATGCGAGCAAGAGTCGAATTCGACGTTACCGTTTTGCTACCCTGGTATCCGTAAGTGTACCTTCCAGTCTTTATCTCACCAGTCTATTAATGTATCGAAGACCGCTCGTGATATTGGTATTACGGCGGCGACACATTTGAACTACAGCGAGCAAGGCCGTCATGAGTTTGAATGGAAAGAATATGCAGCTAGGGAGGAACTCATCCGGTGAGTCTGAATATTGCGTTAGAAGAAATAGCCACTGATACCCCTAAACAGTTTATTCACTTGGATCTTTCTACTAGACTCAGCCTTTGTGATTTTTAACAACCTTCCTCCGCGGATGGTCATCAAAGAAATAAGGATGCATATGGCAACACCGGAAGCTTGCTTCCAAGCGACAACGGCAGACCAATGCCACCACCAACTCCAACTTTTCCTGCCTGCAAGGAGTCTCTACTGGACGATCTCGTTCCGTGGGTCATTCGAGTCGCTATGTAAAGACGATTTATCCCTCAATATCCGCCACCTCCTCGCTACCCTGGGTCCATTGAATTTATTTGCATTAACATCAGGTAAGCTACCATGCAAGCCTCCAAGCCTCCACGGTCCAACTTTGTTAAAACTGTAAAAATTAGCAATTCATTCACAAATCTTCCAATTCCGCAGCGCGGTGGGCAGCTTCCAACTCCGAGCTCCCATACAAAATGCACTCAGCAATTGGCGAGATATCTGGCACTTGTTTTCCACGACATTCCCCCAAGGAATTATGCCGCACATGACAATCGAAGACCCTCACATTCAACCTGATGAGCTCTGGAGACGAATGGGATTCTGCCGCTATGCCCCCGAGTACTGGCTTCTAGCCCATCTGATGGCAGATCGATTGGCAGTACTTGGAACATCTAAGCCGGAGAATGAGTTGGAGCCGCTCGACGAGGGCCTGCTGGACCCAATTCTGAATCGATATGATCAAACTAGTATGCGCCAGATTAATGATCTGATTATGGGCTTTCAGACATTCCAGATTTGAAAGCCGCTTCTATTGTATAATTCAAATGTCACACTTGTAAGAAATGAATAAATGTTATATTGCTATCTTTTCAAGTCCCGGATTATTTTGAGAACACAAATCGCTATCGCCGAAATGATACAGATTTTGACCAAAGGCCAAACAGGCAGTAATGGGACATCACTGGGAGGTTATGTTAGTGACTAGCTGATCGCAACTGGATATAATGCTTACCTCTCATGATAGGAACTTGGGAGAAACCCGGCCTCGCGTTCTGATTCCAGTCTGAGCGACTCAGAACCATCCTCTCTCCAGTCGATTGTTGTTTCATGGAGCCCGGGTATTATGTCATGATCTTCATGTTTGGATCTCGGGGATAGAGTAGTTTCTGATGCTGCATCGTGGATTGGTTGCGGTTGTACTAAGGTTTGAGTTGCTTTGAGGGTGTTGTCAGGTACAGAAATCTTCAAAGGCCGAACGCCTATAGTCGCGCCTGTAGCCTGGAAGCTGAGGAGGAGAACAAAGAATATGGTCAATAACGGCTGAAAGAACATTCTGATTTGGTAAAATAAGAGGCGAAGGGTTTGAAGTTTCTTTACCCAAGTCCAAAGGGGTGGGCTTAATTATATAGAGGCTTTCAAGGATTAAGTTTCAATCTAACTTGAAGTCAGATTTAGATTTCCTTTGTAGATTCTAAGGTTTGACCATGATGACCTCTTGGCGATAACGTATAGTGGCTGAGTGGTCTTGGCACGGAGTTAAGATATGACACTTCCAGCCCTGTAGCCCTGAATACTAAAATGGGGAGATGTCAGTGACCACGACACAGGTCTTGCCTTTCTACTCGGACGGAATTTCCTCTCCTACCTCGATCAACTGGCAACTTGCCTATATCTCTAGAACCCCTGAAGATAACGATGTATGTAGCAGTCCACGTGGTTCATGCTACTCCCCGGAATATCCTTGACTATCAGAGCTAAAGTACTGGGAACCTTGAAACCTTGGAAGGCAACAGGATTCTGAAATCCATGCAAGTTGCTGACGCGCCAAGACATCGGGAGATCCACCGGGTAGACGTAAGTGCGAAGCGTAAGCAAATCACATCAAGTTAAAACTACCTTAATCTTATTTAGTAGACATGGAAAATATTTAGGGAAAATATTTGCTATGTGTATTTCTATTTTAGCACTCGGACTCAACTTTCTACTTGGCATTGTCTTCTGGCTCAATTCACACCGCTTCGATTCCTATTCTGATTAGTATATTCTGAATATGGCAAATAAAACATATTTCAATGGTGCTGAACACGATTCATTGTCTCCGTGGAGTGGTATAAGCGTCCGATGATTATGCAATCAGCGTTAAAGGTAAGTCCATTTGAGTCCATTGCAGAACATTCACCACTTTCTATATCCAGCATGGGATAGAGATACATCTCAGTTTTGTTTCTTATGTGCTCCTAACCATTAGGCCAGAGCCTTCACCGCAATAATTGAAGCTTTTATGATGTACCAGCTGTCCTTTCTATACGTATACTTATTATGCCTAGCTAAATAATAACTAAATATATTTTGGTACACTATTCCGTGGTTTTGAGATGTAATTACTGTCTTCTCAGTTTATCCTATTATGTACTTTTCGATAGCCTCAAATATATATATATATAAGCTCTTAAATATGCATGACGCGTTTTTAGCCCTGCATCAGCGAAAGCCTCTGCTTTCGGTTGGGCTCTGGCCAGGTAGCCCCGCCTGATAGAGCCTTATCTGTTAATAACTTTCAATCTCGGACTTTCAACATATAACTTGAGGATCTTTCATTGACAAATTGGTCTATAATAATAGGCTAATATGGCCATTGGAAGCTTTAGGTGGAAATATTCCCCCACATCCACTCCGACGCCCACCCCCGCATCCGCGAGTATACATCCCACTCCGACCTCCGAGATCGACAAATATGCTGGAATTGATGCTAGATGAACATGCGGGTTGATGTGACAGTATTTATAGGGATATCCCTAGGAACACTTTGATCTCATCAATATTTTTATTAGCAGTGCAGCTTGGGATTCACTCGGCTGTAAGAATAACCCAAAATCTGCAATGTTAACAATTACTACGATAGTAGGGGCAGCTATTGCTGTCCTACTTCTTTCGCGCGTTCTCAGAATCGGACGTCGCCCAAAGAACTACCCCCGGGTCCTCCAACATTGCCCCTTTTGGGGAACATTCATCAAGTATGCGATAACGTGCTCCAAATGAGGGACTTTGAACTAATTGTCGTCTTTAGATGCCCTCTCGGGATGCTCATCTTCAATTCGAAAAATGGGCACGGGAATACGGCCCAATCTACAGTTTAATGCTAGGCACCAAGTGTCTGATTGTGCTGTCCAGTGATGAGACTGTCAAAGAGCTTTTGGATAAAAGAAGTGGTATATATTCGCACCGCCCAGAGCTGTATATTGGCCAGATCTTGTGCAGCGGTGACCTCAGAATGTTGATGATGGTAAGCCATGAAGCCAAGCAAAATAACTTTCCGATGTATCTTGTAGCTGACCGATTTCTCTATCTTTAGGGGTATGGACCAACATGGCGCGGAGTAGGCATGCCTGATATAATCATTGCGATATTTGTGCTAATCTGGCTCTAGTTTCGCAAAATGGTACACGGCTTACTTAACGTCACGACATCGAAGAAATATCTACCCTACCAGATGTTGGAGAATCGGCAAATGCTCTACCAGTTCCTGACGGAGCCAGAAGGATTCCTGAAGCACATTCGACGATACTCCAATGCCCTCACAACCACGATGGTTTTCGGATGGCGGACGCCTACATACGAAGACGAGAAAATGATGCAATTGTTCAACGGCTTCTCGGAATTTGCAGATCTCAACCAGACCGGAACGGCAGCGATCATTGACTTCTTCCCATTCCTGCGGAAACTACCCGAATTTCTTCTCCCAGCACAACAGAAAGCAAAAGATCTCCACAAAAAGGAGAAAGCGTTGTATCTGAGCCATTGGTTGCGAGCAAAGGAAGAGGTTCGCCAGAACACAATCAAGCCATGCTTCTGCGCAGGAATGTACAAGGCACAGAAAGAAGACGGGTTCAGCGACGATCAAGCAGCTTATATCTCTGGAACCCTGCTAGAAGCCGGCTCAGACACTACATCAAGCACGTTGTATGCCTTCGTTCAAGCCATGCTACTGTTCCCGGACGTTCAACGCAAAGCCCAAGAAGAGATCGAAAGGGTAGTAGGTTCGAGTCGCCTCCCCGTCATGGACGACCTGGCCGAACTACAGTACGTAAGGGGTTGCATGAAAGAAACAGTCCGGTGGATGCCGACAACCATTCTCGGAGCCGTTCCACACGCGGTCACACAGGATGACGAATACAAAGGGTACTTTATACCGAAGGGCGCTGGCGTGATGAATAACGTGTGGAGCATCCACATGGACCCGGCCCGTCATCCCAGCCCCCGAGAATTCAATCCCGATCGGTACCACGACGACTACCAGAGTTTCGGAGACGCAGCGGCAAACCCCGATCCGTCGAAGCGGGATGTTTTCACTTTCGGCGCGGGACGTCGCATATGTCCCGGTATCCATGTGGCCGAGCGCAGTCTATTCCTTGGAATGTCGCGCATTCTGTGGGCGTTTAATATTACGCCGGAAATTGATGCGGGAATCCCGATTTTGCCTGATCCCGATCGCTTGACGCAAGGGTTTGTGTGCATGCCTGAGGAATTCCCGGCGAAAATTATGCCGAGGTCAAAGGAGAGAGCAGATTTGGTCCTGAGCGAGTGGAAAGAGGCAGAGAAAGAGTGTCTCGACCCTAAGACGAGACAGTGGATGCAGTCACCTGTGGAGGTATGAGTTCGTGAATGGAAGCATATGCTATTTACGCTTTTAGCTGGAGTTAGGTCAAAAGAAGAGAAATAGTTGTACCTTGGCAATGTTTGACTGGAGACAAATGTTATTCAAATGCCATCAGACCGAAGCACTGTGTGGCACCCAATGATAATGGTTGATATAGATAATGCGCCACAAAGATGTACACCCTACGGGAACTCCTATCACTGTGACTGGAAAACTTGATTGAAGATATCTGTGTAACCCGGGTTTTGCATATGAAATGGCGAAAATATGCGTGCTTATACCTCATTTGGCCGAGACCTAGATTCTGGTTTCAGACCTCGACCAATACCCCCTGAAAGGTCTAGATTAGCATGGAAATACGGATGGATGTGATTGTATGGAATCGAAAGAAACACCGCATCCTAATCGAGACGTTGAAATATGCATTAATGCTTGTGTGAAATGCCAACTCTACGTTAGTTAAATAGTCGGTGTAACTAAGTTAGCCATGTAAGACCCGATCTAAACCAGGAGGCGTTGTATATTGATATGAGCCATATAACTCAGCGAACAGGGTGCTCTTCCCACACAGATATCCCAAGCCATCCTTGCAACGTAGATAGCATTGTTCCTTCCGAGGAGAATGCTGGGATTCTAATATAAATAGTCACGTCCGCACCTTGCGTTGATCTTGAGACTTCCAGTATCATATTCTCTTGATATGCTCATCTTGATATGCTCATCCGCAGCGAGTATACGAGTTCCAATTGTCACAGTGATCGCAGGCAATATCTGATCTAATCATTGACACAGTCGAGACAATGGCCTAACTTTTTTTTGAAAGGTGGAAGGCGTTGGGGTTGGTGAGAATTCAAATATTTGTGGATCGTTTCCTAGCTGACAGATCTGAAGATCAGTGGGGAGATAATCATCTGAGAAGAGTGTATCTCTCAAAGGCCTTGCAAAAAAAAGATTTTGAACCTAATATTCAAGTTTGTTAGGAAGACGGAAATGGGTTGCACAAGAGGGAAATGGCAATTTACCCCCAACGCCTGTCCCGTGCGACGCAACAGGCGACAGAATTCTTTTTTTTTTCACTCTAAACCGAGGAATGATCCCGCTTTTGAGAAATCAGTGGAAAGAAAAAATGCCTCAGGTATATATAAAATGGCGCATACTGCGGGGACATCGGTCAGCTCCGATTTTTTTTGGTCAGTTATGATTGGTGTGAGAGGTGAGAGCTTGATTTTCCTTGAACTTTTTAGCCTATTACCCTATTACCGAGGTAAGAAAAAAGATGAAAATGGAGACAATTGAAGGATGGGAGTATATCCCAAAGGAAATAGGGAATATCTTTTTTTTCCCTTTGGTATATAGGTTACAGCGGTTGATGGGAAATCCAAAAAAAAAGCCCTAAATCAGCACAGCCACCTCCAGATGCAGACCCTTGTGTCTCTCCTCTCTTGGCGTGATATTACGATTTCACCAGCCGCATGGTGGAACGGGCGTCTCGATTGAGTAAAGGGTCAGATCTAAAAAAGAAAAGCTAGGAAAATGCTATAAAATGCTATGGAATCATTGAAATGTATGAGGCAATTTGTCCTAGTATTTGTAAATTGGAGATTGTCCTTTCTATCAAATGTTTGGCTTTAGTGGATGTCGCGTGGACATTTTGAAGTTCTCCGAACTGGAGCTTCAAAAATCCCTCATAGCTATACCGGTACGGAGTACAGCTGTCCCCCTTGGAGTACTTTGCAACCGTTTTACCCTTTTGAGTATTTTCTATCGGAGACCCACGTCCGTCACAAAAGTACCGTATATTAGCATGAAACTATGGTCCAAGCTTTAGTCAAAAATGTATCAGAATAATTTAAAAAAAACCTGAAAGAGCCATAAAGCCACCAAAGTACTGAACCCTTCGAATGCACGAGCCAGTCCTAGTCGATCCTGTGGCTGTGAGTACCAGTCGAATCATAGGGTTGATTTCTCGCGACGCACAGAAACACGCCGGAGTAAGTAATATAGAATGATAGAAAAAAATAAGTAAAAAAAAAAAAAAAAAAGAAATTGTCCCTGTGTCATCATAACTGTCAATATCCGGGTTGACCCCTCAGTTCTACCTTGCCATATATATAAAAAAAAAAGGTATATAAGCTCGTCCCCGTCCATACATCATGACCTTTCATCTTAGGGATGCTTATCGACGGTCATAAGTGGGCGTGTGAAGCTTGTATACGGGGCCACCGTGTGACCAGCTGCAAACACCATGGTTAGTACAATAGCTTTTTATTTTCCTTTTTATATATACCCTACATTTGCTACCTAGATCTGAAAAAAGCTGACTTTGACAAAATTACATCTAGATCGTCCATTGATTCGCATCAAGCGTAAAGGTCGCCCTTTCGCAACATGTACAATGTGCAATGCAACGCCTTGTACATCTCCAATCGAGCATGCACGCGCAAAGCGTGACGCAGAGCTCAAATGTCCTTCAAAAGTAACGCAAACACAAAACACAGCCAACAGACGCCATATCTTCGGCATATGGAAGAAGAGAAAATTGCAAGCGCCATGGTGCTGATTGCTGTTTGCTCTTTTTCTAGAAAGCCTCGAGCCACGGAAGACTCTATCCGCGGCATAATCCGAACGGTTTCCTTCCGATTGCGCCGCGTCCACGCCCAAGCCCAAGTCCGTCGGGATCGATTTCGGGTCCTGCCGGCGGGAAGTCTCCCTCAACCGTTGCGACAAAGTCGAAGTCTAGGTCCGGGTCAAAGTCGGGCTACTCGACCTCGTCGGCTTCGTCGCCCGGGAAGACTCCCATCTACCATGATACTATGGGGGGAGAGTGGTCGGGTTCAGAGAATTCCTCTAGGATTGAGTCATCTAGACAAACTGTGTCTTTCTCTGGGTCGGTAATGCCGAGTTTTGACTCGGGTCAGACACTCAGCCCAGGGCAGGGTGGCTCCGCTTCACATTCCGCGCCGGGCTCACTGTATGAGTATCCCATCGAGTATCCCGTTACCACGGGGGCCGAGGCCGCGGCTGCCTTGTTCGATCCTGCCTATTCCCTCCAACCTTCTACGATGGCTGTTTCGGGTTCCCAGCTCGCTCACACCTTGCCCATGGTGAGTCCGCTCGAAGGGGGAAACCCCTTTGACTTCTCGCTGGACCCTGCGCTGGAATTGGGCGATAACACATTGGGATATCTGAATGAGGCCGAGATGAATATGGAGATGGAGATGCCGGTTATGGAGGAAGTGTTTCATGTGGAGGATTGGTCGAGGTATATGTGGTCAGCTGAGACAGGGTTTGAGCATTTAGATACCGGATTCCCGCCTGTGACTCAATAACAGGAGGGGTTCGGGCGGCGAACCTGGTCAATAACTCGCATGATGATTGATGATTATGATTTTATTGCTTTGAAAATGTGGATATATATACAAAAATGGAAAGAGCGGAAGCTCAGGCTCTGGTGCTGTCTGTGATACCTTTTACTCTGGCACTGCTACCTACCACAGGAACAGTTCTGACCTTCATGAAGATTCAATGGAAACAACGTATCCTATGCTCTATCCGAGACTTGCGAATGGATGCCAAGCACGGATGCCCCCAATGCTCCTTGCTGATGTAAAATAATGATGGGAACGGCACTGATGACGCCGACTATACAGGAGAATGAACACAAACAAAAAGCAGGCCTGGACCTTATAAGCCCACAAACAGACAATGATCAACCCAAAAAGATATGTACGAAGACCAGAGGGTACAACCTATACCTCCTGGATGTAGTTTGCTGGAACGCTCTTCGTAACACCACCCCGTTCGACGTCGGCCCATCCATCACCACTATCCCGGTTGATTAGAACAAATCGGTCGCCCTCTGCCATATTCCACTCCATATCGCTGCGGGCTTCGTACTCGTATAATGCCTCGACATACTGCAATTTCTTGGCCCCTCGTCTGGGCGCGACCGCTGGTCCGACACGCTTCGGCGCGGCGCTTCCTGCCAGGGATGCCGATGAATTTGAGTACGTTGAACCGGGTCGTTCAGGCATACTGGGACTAGCGGATGGCACGGGTGATGGTGTTGGGGCAGCTTCGACATATGCGGCCGGTACAAGTCCTTCGTTGGCCCCCGAGCGTACACGCAGCCATCCAGAACCATCTATACAACTCTTAGTAAATATTGCGTGTAAAGGGTAGGACAAGAGGACGTACCATCTGGTTGGAGGATCACCACCTCATCCCCATCTTCCACGCTGACCTCATCTGAGCCGGTGGCTTGATACGCGTACAGCATCTTACCTCGTGGCTCTTTGGATCTCGAGCCCATGCCAGAGTCGCTGGGCGGAGGTGCAGTCATGTATGCTGTCGGAGGTGGTGCTAGCACTCGGTTCCTCTTTGTGGCAGCGGCAGCTGGCTTTGTCTGTGCAACGGGAGCCGGGGGTTCTTCTGCTGGGATTTCAGGTGTGGGCTGAGTAGCAATGTTCGATACCGACCGAGCCGTACTGGCCGCATATCCTGAGCTAAGAGAGTTCATTGTATTTTGTCGCGTCAGGGACGGGGCGGCAGCGGAAGCTGCAGGGGTGCCGATATCCACAGCAGGCATGGCACCAGCCTGTTCTTGTCGCAAGGCCTTGAGCTTTTTCTTCTCTTCCTTGGTTTGCTCGCCCGGGCACTCCGGCGGAACCTTCATTTGGCATTTACTATGGCAGGTGTAACCACAATCTCGACAATCATAGCCCTTGGCGGACAGGCCCCAGATTCGCTCGCCGCAAAGGTCGCAATTTGTCGGGATTTTGAATGTCTGAGAGCGGAAATTGTGGTTCTGGGCTCCAAGTGACAAATCTCCAGCCACTGCCATGATGGTCGCCGTTTCTACCTCGGCTGTAACCCATTTGCGATCAACCTCGTGCAAGGATTCTTGAATGTAGAACATGGATCGCACGACATCTAACTCGTTTCGATTATCTTTGCCATGTTGAATATTTTCCCGTACTTTCTTGCTTCCTTCAACCTCGCGCTTCTTCCGGTCTGACTCAACTCGTAGTTCGTGGATTTGAGCTTTGCTCTTACTCAGAACGTTGCGCAGGAAGACCTTGGCTGCTTCATCGATGACGATTGTAGCTTCGTCGTGCCATACTGGACTCGGCTCAAATGCTAGGTTCGCAGGTTCCTGCGATTGAGTCACATTGTGCTGGAGGAACATCAAGGAGTCCAGACGCGGGTTATTGCGAGGAATTTCGACAAGAAGATTAGCGATGTGCTCTGTGCTGTTGGAAAGGGATGCCTTTTCAAGTTGCGCGGCAAGCGACCACATCACGTTCATTTTTGCGACTCTCGTTTCATTGAGGTTTTGTAACCCCTGACCGGAAGTATGAGTATCATTGTTGTTCCAGGATATGGGGAGTAGCGGGTTCATCTTACATCGATCACCTCGGGGACATATTCATGATAGAATTTCTCCTTCAGCTTATTTGTCACATTGATGCTGATGAGATAGAGATTCTACCCCCAAGTTAGCATCAGGACGAAGTTGTCAGTCAAATGAGCCATGCCTTATAGTTGTTCATCTCCAGTATTTGTTGTTGATATGCTGTTTGTGCTTTGGTCTTGCCATGATCGAACGCGGACTCCATTTTCTTTCTGCGAGATTCGACCTCCTGGCATGCGCCATCGTATTTGCCCTTCGCTTTTTTGAGATCGCCATATGCTGCCTCCCGTTCCTTTTCTAACTTGCCATAGTATTCAACATGGCATTTGCGAATCTCTTCATATTGGGTGGCAGCTTGTTTCAGAGGATCCGCCACTTGCACGACCAATTCTGACGCAAACTTGTCCCGTTCAGCGGCGTGTGATTCCACGGCGTTCAATTGTGTAGTCCAAGTAGTGAGCGATGCGCTTTCGAGGGAGCCGGGGGTCAAGGTGGGTGTATCGCCTACACTCAAGGGGCTGATCTTCTTCGACTTGCGGTCATAGTACTTCTTGCACAGGGCCGTTAACTTGGATGCGTATTCCTTCTCAATGACACTGCGCTCGCGGTAGAATTGGTGTATCTCGTCTACCCATGATATACCATTTGATACCTGTGCAACATGTTTGCATTAGCTCCACTTCAAGCGCACAGGGTGATCTGACGGGTCGGTTGCGGGGAAACGATGTCGGGACCATACCCAATTGTTAACTGGTTTGAAGGAATCCTAGATAAATCAACCAGTTAGCTATATATCTGCGACTATCATCATACAGTATATATACCTTCAGCTCTGCTCCAAATTGGGGAGCAACGTCTGCGGCCGCCATGGCTGGATTGAGATCCCAAGGCGCACACGCGCATGGGATAGCCCGGGAATGGAAGACCGAACAATGAGACGGGATTACCTGCTCTCAGCGCTACTCGTCAACGGGTCACTTCTCTTCCAAGGTTGGTATCAACCAAAGTAGTCAATAACTCCAATTAGGCAGTGTTCAATGAGCTATTGAGGCCATCAGACAGGAAGAATGAGCTTAATGGCCAAGGCGGGGAGAAGGCCGGTCCATGTGACAGTACCAAACATACACGCTGCTTGTAGTTAGTATGTGTCTGGTCCATGCGTTACAATACCATAACATTTATTTCACTTTGACTCAATTCGGACTAGTTCCTATCCTTCGGCGTCATCTGTTTTTGCTCTTCCATTCAGAAGCTCTATTGTTTTCTTTGGTTGTTGCTCTTCTCTCCTTGGTGCTTGGATTTCTAATTTCTTCCATTCCCCCTGAGTCCTAACCGAAGTCATTCTCAGTTGGCGACATATTAACAATCGTGCGCCATCTCTACGAACTTTTCTTTACCCCACGACCACCCCTCCAGCTTTCTTTCCTTCTACAACTCTTTCTGGTTTTCTGGGATACCCACCAGACTTTGCACCATGTCTGATAACCCGGAAACCACTCCTGTCGCAGGCTCCTTGGCTGACCGTATCACCAAACCTGACGAGCCGAAGCCCACCGGTACGAAACGAGACCACGCCACCGTCGCTGATTCCTCCAGTCCACACGACCGGAAAACGCGCGATACGCCGGCTGATAGCTAATATTTTTTTTGTTTGATTTCACAGATCCCCCCAATGTCTCCACCGCTCCCAAGGAGGATGGAGCCTCTGCCCCCGCGCAGGGCTCACCAGATCTTGAGGAGCCTGACTACACTGTCGCAGTGAAATTGAGTGACTTGCAGGCGGACCCAAACAACCCCCTATTCTCAGTCAAGAGCTTTGAAGACCTGGGCCTGTAAGTGCTACTTACTGGTACGCTGGTGTAAATGAGCGTCTCCCAGCTAACTTGATTGACACTGCAGAGATGCGCGCATTCTGAAAGGTCTCTCTACCATGAACTTCCGCAAGCCATCCAAAGTCCAGGAGCGCGCTCTTCCCCTTCTGATGAGCAACCCCCCGAAGAATCTGGTTGGTCAGTCGCAGTCCGGTACTGGCAAGACCGCAGCCTTCGTTCTCAACATCCTCAGCCGTCTCGACCTCTCAACGGAGCAGTTGCAGATGACGCCTCAAGCTCTGATCCTTGCTCCTACCCGTGAATTGGCTCGCCAGATTGTCGGCGTGATTCAGATCATGGGTCAGTTCCTTGAAGGTCTCGTCATCGGCACTGCTGTTCCCGCCGATTCGAACGCACGCCCGTCGAAGATGGATTGCTCAGTTGTGGTTGGCACACCTGGTACTGTTCAAGATATGATCAAGAAGCGTATTATGAACCCCACTGGGTTGAAGGTGCTTGTCCTTGACGAGGCAGATAACATGCTCGACCAGCAAGGCCTGGGAGATCAGTGCATTCGGGCTAAGGCGTAAGTAGTTCAAACCTCCAGCACTTAAGAGCTTTCAGCTAATAGCTCCCGCTGGGTAGAATGATCCCCCGAACTGTTCAAATCGTCCTGTTTTCGGCGACCTTCCCCGCTCATGTCTACCGCTATGCGGGCAAGTTTGCTCCTGACGCAAACGAGATTACCCTCCAACACGAAGAGTTGACCGTTGAGGGTATCAAGCAGCTATACATGGACTGCAGCAGTGACGAGGAAAAGTATCAGAACCTCGTTCAGCTCTATGGACTGCTCACTGTCGGATCCTCAATCATTTTCGTCCGGGTAAGTATCATCTCAGATTAAGATTGGAATATTGCTGATCCCCGTTTAGACCCGTGCATCTGCCGTTGAGATCGAGAAACGTATGGTTGCTGAGGGTCACACTGTCGCCTCGCTGACTGGTGGTGTTGAGGGATCCCAGCGTGACGCGGTGATTGATTCCTTCCGCAGCGGCGAGGCTAAGGTTCTCATCACGACCAACGTCCTCGCTCGTGGAATTGATGTATCTACAGTTTCCTTGGTCGTCAACTACGTGAGTTCATCGCCTGTCCGCTTTTACGTCCCAAACTAAAATTTATCGCCTTCAGGATATCCCCGAGGAGTACTCTGGCGGTCAACGCACCAACACGCCCGACTACCAGACCTATCTGCACCGCATCGGTCGTACTGGTCGCTTTGGTCGCATTGGCGTGGCAATCTCATTTGTTTCCAACCGTAATGAGTGGGAGATGCTCCGCAAGATCCAAGACCACTTCCAGTGCGTCATCGACCGCATTGATACTAGCGACTGGGATGAAGTGGAGGAGATGATCAAGAAAACGATCAAGAACACCCGAGCTCAGGCCAACTTTGCCCAGGGCTAAGCGTATGAAACGTTGGGGTGTACAACACCCCTTGCTTCAATCTTAACAGTCTGATTTGAATAAATCATTTCACGTTTCATGGTTTGAAGAGTGACGAAATCTCTTCTTTTTTTTCGCGGGCCAATGGAGGTGAGGGGAAATCAGATACCTATTTGCGTGCATGGCAAAAAAAACCTCAATTCTTTTTCATTTCAACTTTGTAGATCGTCTTCTTTTCGTGTCATTATGAATTCTTCCTGTGGGTCGTTCTTTCGATGCCTATTAATCTTCTATGTATCCATCTTCTCGTCCGCATCCTGTGGAACCACTTTGCTGCTCAGTCCATGGAGAGTTTAGCAATAATGTCAACGTAACAATCGATGCGAACTTGAAACACGCAGAGGATATCGTTTACCCGTTTATCGTCACAATCACCATTGCCTACAGCAAGTTAGGCTCCGGCTAGCAGTTCCTCGGGTTGTACCGAATGCGTGGGGTATGCCAACGAGCCAGCGTTTTCGGGTGGAACTAGTACATACTGTTTCTCAGACAGATGCCATTATACCTGGGGGATTTTGCGCTTGAGCCTAGGTCTATGCTTTTCTCGTGGCTCAACCTCTTCCTAATCATCCGTTTCGTTGAGAGTTCATGTTCCACAGGGCTATGCTTAGCCCTCCTTAGGGGTTTGCTTGTCTCTCTTTACGATCAACAAATCGCCTACAAAATCACCATAGAAACGGGCTTTTCTTGGGAAATGAAGGGACAGTATCAGGTGGCCCAAATCTTCCAAGATTGTAGTGTGTGAAAATTATATGTTTTAGCAGATTCTACCAGACCCATAACGTTGATGGGTACCCCCTTTGGTGGAGGCAAATAGAAAAGAGGTAGTAGACCAACAGTCTAATTCAAATACTTACAAAGCCCTTTTGTCGCGAGTATATACATGAAACCACCATAACACAGAAACACCCTCTTAAAACAACCACTGATTAAATGCAACACCCAAATCTATGTTATTAAACAATTCCAGGCCATCAACTTCAATCATTGGATCAAAATCAAACGCAGAAGTATCACCAATATTCGAGTCTGGAAGAATTGAATGTGGCTCCAGAATCTCATCAATAATCCTAGAGAACAGCTGACTGGCGCGTTGAAAGAGAGCATAGTTGGCATTATCCGGCCGAACGATAGATTCGAGATGCGAAATGAACACACTCAAATTGCGGATCAGTGCCGATCTCGACCCTTCGTAGAGGAATGGCTCGCCTGTGCGTTTTTGGTGCTGCAAGGCTTTGATGAGTAGACTGGCGCTGGGGAAGCCGTAAAGTAGGACCTGCCATTCACCTGGTATTAGAATGGGTAGAAGTGGATTCTTTTGTGATAGTACGTACCGTCCACGCAAAATCTGGTCGGAGATCGACCATTTGTTCGCGTTGCATGCCTAATGTCAGGACGGTTGATAGTATGTCAGCGCTCACGGAGAGCAGTGCTGTGTTTCCGCGTGGATTATTCTTCCCCGCGATGAGTCGTTGGATGAGGAAGTCGTTGTACAGATATGCCAGATATGAAATAATCATCATGAGGCATACTGCTACGTGCAAATTTTGATCCCAGCACTGTGGGCTGTAGCGTAGCCAATTGGGGAGCGAATCCCATGCTAGATGGCATCGCTGGGAGATATTCCTATATGATATTAGTGGCTGAACATAAAGTAGAAAGAAAGTGATGATCTACTTGAGCATATTTTCCATCTCGGGTGTCACATTCTGTAAAGAGACCTCGAGAATCTCATCCCGAAATGTACTGATGATAAACCGCACTCGTATCCATGATGAACGCTGGACTACTCCTTGGAGATTCCAGCCATTCTCATCAATGTAGTCGTGGGAGTAATCTAGTACCATGTTATCGGTAGCGAGTGCCTCATCGCTGATATCAAGGGGCATGCGACAATCAGCATATCGCCATGGTATTCTTGGCGGTCGACCTAAGAATGTGGCAATGCTCTTGTCAAGCTGATACGCTGCAGCAAATTGCCGTCTACGTGACTCTAAGAGAAAATTGGGTGTATCGCTCGGAGTCTTGGAGTCACGGTGAAGACCAAGTGCGAAGATATCGGTGGACAGCTCGCCTAATCGTTTCCAACAAGCGGGGCCTAAAAGGTGTTAGGAAAGGCAAGGTGGTGGATGGGATGAACTAACTTGAGTCGCCATGTACTATATCTGACAACAGGAGAATCTCATGTACTAGCCATATTGTGAGGTCATTGAGTGGTGTAAGGATTTTGCAAATCGATAGTGCGGCATCGCTCGCTGCAAGCATCTTATGCGCATATTGAGACCGCGAGGTCCGGTCCTCATCAAATCTGTCATTGGCGAGTCCCAGATATCTTGCCCGACCAGCGAGAGCGCAGATAAGCCCGATAATCTCAAGGCGGATTGCTGGCCCCGTAAATAGCGTATGGAAGTCACGCCCTTGTGTGGAGGACGGAACCTCGAAAATCTCAGACGTGTTTTGTATTATGCTTACTGTCAGAGACGATGTAAAATCAGCAAGATTACGGTCTGATATGCTCTCCTTGCACATGGACTTGACCGGGCCAAGGCTGTTGA